CTAACCCCTCCTCCAGTGAGTCAACTCATCTGTTTCACTTTCATAATGTGCTGCATCTGAATAACAATCTCTTTCAAGGTCAGTCTTGTTTACAACAAGATCGCCTCAAAATGAGGAATTTTGTGTTGGACTGAAAAGGTCTGATTACACTTGGTCTGATTTACACTTTTATTGTACAGTCTGGCATGTTTTCAGGTTTCTCTGGTATTGGAAAGAGTTTTGTCCTGGACTTTTATATAGTTTCTCAAATTGATGATAATGAGTCATTTGCAAACTGAGTAAAAAATGAATGTAATATATTCATTTGCATTATGCACAAAATTTCTGGTAGCATAACTGGTAATACTACCGGTAATCAGGAACTGCAATTCAGAGTGTTATACTTTAATTAAAGATAAAATATTTTTGTTATTTAAAATGAAGATGAAATGTAAAAAAGAAAAACAGAAAATAAACTACTAACTTATTAACTAGAAAAAAATCAAATTTAATTAAAAAAAAAAATGTTTTAAAACAAAAACTTATAAGAAAAATGACAAGAACACAACAACATAACATTAACTTGTTTATGCTGTAATTGGATCTGGATTCTGGTCTGGTTTTTTAGTAATTTAATCCCTATTCTAATCTGGTTTATGCAGTAATTTAATCTGCATTCTGATCTGGTCTATGCAGTTATTTAATCCACATTCTGATATGGTTTATGCAGTTATTTAACCTGGATTCTAATATGGTTTCTAATATAATTTAATCTGCATTCTGATCTGGTTTGTGCAGTTATTTAATCTGCATTCTGATCTGGTTTGTGCAGTTATTTAATCTGCATTCTGATCTGGTTTATGCAGTAATTTCATCTGCATTCTGATCTGGTTTATGCAGTTATTTAATCTGGATTCTGATCTGGTTTATTCAGTTATTTAATCTGGATTCTGATCTGGTTTATGCAGTAATTTTATCTGGATTCTGATCTGGTTTTTGCAGTAATTTAATCTGGATTGTGATCTGGTTTATGCAGTAATTTAATCTGAATTGTGATCTTGGCACTGTTATTTAATCTGGATTGTGATCTGGTCTGCACTGTTATTTAATCTGGATTGTGATCTGGTTTATGCAGCAATTTAATCAGAATTGTGATCTTTGCACTGTTATTTAATCTGGATTGTGATCTGGTTTATGCAGCAATTTAATCAGAATTGTGATCTTTGCACTGTTATTTAATCTGGATTGTGATCTGGTTTCAGAGGCGCTGTGTTGGCCCATGCTGCTGTCCACATTCAGTCACTATTCTCTCTTCCACATGGCGGCCAACATGTACGTACTGTGGAGTTTCTCTTCGAGCATCATCAACATGATGGGAAAAGAGCAGTTCATGGCGCTCTACCTCTCCGCAGGTCTGGGTCATTTAAGAGTTTTCAGATTTCCAAAACCATCCTACACTCCTTAAATTCATCAGTGTTATTGGATTTCATCTTTCTGTGCCCATGTTCTCAGGTGTGATTTCTACGTTTGTCAGTTATGTGAGTAAAACAGCGATGGGTCGGTTTGGTCCATCACTGGGGGCGGTGAGTGTGTTTTCAGATTAAACATTTCAGGATTTCATCAGTGTTCATATGGATGTAGTGAACAGATTATTGTGTTGTGTCAGTCAGGGGCCATCATGGCCGTCCTAGCAGCTGTTTGCACCAAAATGCCTGAAGCCAAACTGGCCATCATCTTCCTGCCCATGTACACCTTCACCGCAGGAAACGTGAGTGTGTGTGTGTGTGTGTGTGTGTGTGTGTGTGAGTCTGTGTCTGTGTAAGAGATTTTTGTTGTTTTGGGTAGTAATGATGGCCACATTCTCATGATCTTCTCCTGCCAACAGGCTCTCAAGGCCATCGTCGCCTTGGATACCACAGGCTTGATTCTGGGATGGCGTTTTTTCGATCACGCAGCTCATTTAGGTGGAGCTTTATTTGGCATGTGAGTGATTTGTCCCTACTTTCGCTTACATTTAGATCAGTCTAGATGTTTTTGAAAGGAGAAAGTGTTGTTATTGTTAACAAGAACTATTAAATATTGGGTTACACTTTACTTGAAGGGGTGTGCATAAGCCTACATGACACCTACATAATCATGACATGACACGTTTTTTATGCATGTTTATGACAACTGTCATTAAGTGTCATTCGCTCAGTTATGTAATTTTTTATGCAAATATGACATTATTCGACCTAACCCTAACCTAACCCTACCCCTACCCCTAACCATAGCCCATAACAAACACATCTCAAACAATGTCATCTTTGCATTAAAAATTACATAACTGAGCGAATGACACTTAATGACAGTTGTCATAAACATGCATAAAAAACGTGTCATGTCATGATTATGTAGGTGTCATGTAGGCTTATGCACACCCCTTCAAGTAAAGTGTTACCAAATATTGTTTTTGTTAGTTGAAATAAAGCTGAAATGAAATAAAATGTAAATATTAGATGAAAAACTTGAAGTGAAAATTAGAAATGTTGCCTTGGCAACTAAAACTAAATAAAAGTAAAGTAAAAAAATAAATTAAAGCTGAAGAAATAAATAGATATATATAAAACAGAAACTAATAAAAATGGCAAAACATATAATGAAATGACTAAAATTAAAATGAAACCCGAAAATATAAAAATAAAATGTAATAATAAGTCAAAATACTAATACATATTTTAATAGTTTATAAATAATACTAATATAACACTAGCAAATTACTTGTACCACTGTTAATTCAGTATCATTAACTATTATAGTTTTTGTTAATATTTGATAATATATCATATTTTATTTTTATATTTCTTGTTTTAATTTTAGTGAACGTTTTAGTAAATGTTTTGTTTTTTTGTATTAATTTTTTTGTCTATATAGTTTTTATAAATGTGTATTTATTCTTTTTAGTTTATTTAGTTAGATTTTATTTTAGTACTTTTAAGTTTAACTAAACAAAAATGAAAAGCTGTAAAAAGTTTTACTTTTTCTTTTTTTTTTTTTTGCATTTGGTTTTATTTTAGTTAATGTTTATTTTATTTGAATTAGCTAAAAATAATTTTTATGGTTTTAGTTTAATATAATAACCCTGGTATGTAGTCACTCAATCAGACATCCTCGCCACGAAATGCATTTGACACGCATTTTAACAGCAGGTGGTGTAAACATCGATTGGCCTCTTGATGGATCTTTTTACCAGTTGTAAACATGTAAAGACAAGCATGTTAATTCTCTCTCTGTGTTTAATGTCTGTTTCTTCCTCTAGCTGGTACATCATTTATGGTCATGAGCTCATTTGGAAGAACAGAGAGCCGCTGGTGAAGATGTGGCATGACTTCAGAACGAGAGGCCCGGGCACTGGCGGCAACGGCTCGATTTAGAGCCATGCATTAGAGTCATTCATTTTCATTCATGAAGAAAAAACTATTTGAGAAACGGACACAGACACGCTGACACAGATATTCATGCACTTGAAGCTCATATTCTGTTTTGTATTCTGTGAGAGAGTCATAGAGTGAGGTCCGTTTCAGTCACAGTGATGTCCTTATGCTCCGCCTCCGATTTGAAATTTGAATCCAACTAACCCCACCCACTTGGTTAAAAATGCAAATGTATCTGGAGGGGCGGAGCTTCGGCACAGCTCTAAGGACGCTATGCGTCTCAGTGACATTCAACATCATGTACAGAAACTTAAAAGTTGAAATAATCTGTAACTGTCATTTTGAAAAATAAAATGATTATTTAAAATCCTGTTTTCTCTGTATGATCAGGTGCCAGCTTTTGTTTAATTTGCTATAATTGTGTGTAATATGTTCTTTATTGTCTGAGTTTCAGATGAGACTTTGGTCCTTGTTAAATGTGAATGATTAGCCCTGTTTGTCTATAGCACACACACACCTGCACTATACGTCTCATCAGTAGAAACCGTTTCAGTGTTGTTTTCTCAGATCGACCAAAGTTCAGTAACAGTCATGGTATCATAATGGCTCATGAACAATGCATCTGTTTTCCACTTCCTCGTGGTTTCATGAAGTCACTGTATCGCTCGTCTCTTCCCATGTTTCCCAGTTATCACTCGTTAACTTCCATCCCATCATTCTTTTCTCTCCCATTGTCACTGGGTTTGAGTTTGGGTTTCATGAAGAAACATCCAGGTCATATTTCACCCCAAATTCACAAGAAATCTAAATATTTAGCAAAAATAAAGTGAAGCCTAATGTTAGTATATTAGGCTTCTGTTGCCAAATTGGCACTTTTCTGTTTTTTCCTGTTGTAAAAACAGTCTGGTTAAAAGTTCAAAAGCTTGTGGTCAGTAAGATTTTTATTTTTTGTTAAAGAAATTAATACTTTTCAACAAGGATGCATTGATCAAAAGTGACAGTAAAGGCATTTATAATGTTACAAAAGATTCTCTTTCAAATAAATGCTGTTCTTTTCATCTGTGAATCCTGACAAATAAAATGCATCACAGTTTCCACAAAAATATTGGGCAGCACAACTGTTTTCAACACTGATAATAATCAGAAATGTTTGTTGAGCAGCAAAGCAGCATATTAGAATGATTTCTGAAGATCATGTGACACTGAAGACTGGAGTAATGATGCTGAAAATACAGCTGCGCATCACAGAAATAAATTGCAGTTTAACAGATATTCACATAGAAAACAGCTTTTTAAATATTGGAATAATATTTCACTTTTGATCAAATAAATGCAGTCTTGGTGAGCAGAAGAGACGTCTTTCAAAAGCACCCCAAACTTTTGAACATTAGTGTAGTTTGTAAATGATCTTTAAGCACTTGAGTGGAATAAAGCCTGGTGTTGTGTTTGTTGATAATGGTGTAATCGGTGTGCTGTGAAGTGTGTGAAACAGACGGATGACCCTGAATCAAGAGATGAGTCTCATCTGGAAAGAAGGCCATCTCTCTGCCCCCTTTTTGTGTTTTGAGGAGGATTTGATTTTTTCAGGGTTATTGACCTAAAGCCAATATTAACACAGTGACACTCGCCCATCACTGCTGTCTCTCATATAGACGGAAAACCCTGCTCAAAAGCCACAGTTTCAGGGGAAACCTAACAAAATGATTCTTGATTATTAGGTCACAGTCCACTGGGAGCCAAACAGGTGCGTGTGAGTTTTCATTTTCATCAGTATAATGATCTGTAGCAATTTCTGATTGTGCTTTGGGTCTAAACTGATGAATATTTGTCAGATATTCTGTTGTCAAGTTATTTTTTTTTTAAATATCAGTGCATCTTTTGTTTTAAGTATGCATTATTATTATTATTTAAATAATAACAAATAAAACATACAAACAACTTTTTAAACAAATAAAACATACAAAAAAAGTTTTAACAACTGATTTTATTTTAGTTGCTAAGGCAATATTTCTATTTTGTTTAACAATGTAAATGGTAAAACTGCAATAAACAATTAATAAAAAACTGTATAGTAAAAAAAATCTAATAAAAATGACAAAATTACTAAAGCAACTAAAATAAAAAAATATAAACATAAAAACTAATTTTAAAAATATGAATAAAAACTATAATAGTATCTCAATTATATTAAAATAACCTGAAAGGCTTTATTCATCATTATGAGTGAATCACATTTTTATGCATGTTATTATATAAATACATTTCTAAGTTAAGCACTGCATGATTTGCTTTTATTTCCCAAGAGTTTGAAGTCCAACGTTTGACCGGTCATGAATAGAACACGTCTGAATTTCTCACTCTAGAAATACTTAAACGTGATATTAATAGTTCCGTTTAGAATCACATCAACCTGAAGAACCTTTATGCTGAAATAGTTCTTTGCAAGAGTTCTTTATAACTTATAAAACACATTACTGAGATGTTATTATTGAGAAAGTGTTTATTTTTTCAAGTTTAAAAACCAAAGTTGAAATTTCACTGAACTGTGATGTGTAACATAGTCCGTTAATATTTAGTGTAGTATCTGAATTAGATAAATGTTCGGGGTTTCATTAACATTTCTATCAAACTTTGATATTTTACCCCTTAAGGGAAGACACACATGTAAAACCACTGCATGCACCAAATTCACTACATTTAGCAGTTTTATTCCTATCTATATTTTGAAGGCTTTTATAGAGGGGTTTGTATATAACAAATGTGTTTTTCCAGCCTGATGAATCTCCATTTCTGGTTATGTTTGTGTTCTGGTGCTTCAAAGAACCCAGAATCCAATATACTGATGTGAAGAAGCATCTTTAAACAGCCACACAGCAAATTATGAACTCTATAAAGCAAAACCATAAGAACCGTTGAAGAACCTTCATTTTGAGAGTACGGTTTTGGTCAAACGTTTGCATAAACCTTGCAGAATCTGCTAAACGTTACTTGTTTTGTGAAAATATAAATGCATGTTTTTTTTTTTATTTAGTACTGTCCTGAATCAGATATTTTACATAAAAGATGTTTACATATAGACCACAAGACAAAATAATAGCTGAATTTATAAAAATGACCCCGTTCAAAAGTTTATATACCCTCGTTTTTTTTTTTGTTTAGTGATGTTTGTTCATGTGTCCTATGTTTGTCCTGAACAGTTAAACTACCCGCTATTCTTCAGAAAAATCCTTCAGCTCCCACAGATTCTTCAGTTTTCCAGCATCTTTTGCATATCTGAATCCTCTCCAGCAGTGACTGTATGATTTTGAGATCCATCTTTTCACACTGAGGACAACCGAGGGACTCATACGCACCTATTACAGAAGGTTCAAACATTAAGATCCAGGGGGTGAAAACTTTTGGAATTTAAAGATCAGGGTAAGTTTGACTTATTTTGTGCTCTGGGAAATATGCAAGTATCTTCTGTAGCTTCTGAAGGGCAGTACTAAATGAAAAGCATTATGATATTAAAACTAAATTTACACATCTTATTCAGTTCAAAAGTTTTCACCCCCACCCCCCAGCTCTTCTTTCTGTAGCATTAGTGACCTTTTGAACCTTTAAACATATTTTATGTAAATATCTTATTCAGGACAGCACTAAATAAAAAAATCCCTTCTATTTTGGTAAAATAATGAACGTTTTTCAGATTCTGCAAGGTGTATGTAAACTTTTGACCACAGCTACTTATCTGTTTGTTTGTGTGAATAGTCTCAGAATCTCTGGTTCAGGATGGCAGCGATGGTGTTTCAGCTGATGGGAATGTTTCTGGGAATCGTGGGCTGGTGTTTGGAGTCCAGCTCCACAAACTCAGCCGTGTGGAGGAAAGCCAGTCACGGGGAGGCAGTGGTGACGGCCAGCTCTCAGTTTGAAGGTCTGTGGGTGTCGTGTGCGTCTAACTCGCTCGGAGCCATTCACTGCCACAGATTCAAGACTGTTCTGGGCCTTCCAGGTGAGACACGCGCTCCACGTGGCCTTCGCTCGCATTACGTCACACTGCTGCTTGGTTTCAGTGATACAGTATCATGAGCATTTTACTGTTCGCCTGTGGCTCAATCCTGTGACAAAACGAGGTTATACTAGTCATAAAAACTCACTCACACACACCTTTACTCTAGAATACAATACAGTTTTCTGCAGATGTGTCTCAAATGATTGCGGTTTGACTCTTGGGCAGAATTTAGAATTTAATCATTGAATTCTTTTAATTTATGGATTCAGATTTGAATTGGTCACAATCTACAGCAAGATGAACTGAAATTTGATTTACAGGAAGTGGATTTACTTAAAAAAAAAATAATCACTTGAAGAAAAAAATGTTAACTAAAACTAAAACCATTTTCCAAAACCGTTTAAATCAAAGTTGAAATAAAATAAATATTGGAGGAAAAATAATAATAAAAAAAAACAAACATGAAAATTAGAAATGGTGTACGTGAAATACATAAGTTTAAGTACTAAAATTAAGATAAATAAATATATTTAAAAAATAATTAACAAAATTACTAAAAATCTAAACTGAAAATATCAAAATAAAAATAAAAGATCATTCAAAATATCAATGAATACTATAATCAGGGTTATTATAGTAAAAAAAAAAACATACTTTATTTGAGCTAGTTGCCAAAGCAACATTTCTCTTTTTTGTTTAGTTTATCGTCAAATATCTAAACTGACTAAAACTAAATGAACTAAAAGTTATAAATGAAAAAAAAAAGAATCAAAACAAACATATTTTATAAAAATACAAAACATGACAGTTCTAAAACAAACAAAAATTGAAGTGAAAACAGAAAAATAAAGGCAAACTCATAATGTTAACAAAAACCATAATGCTATATCAATGATACTAAAATAACATTGACTATAATAGTATATAAATCATACAAAAATATCAATAACATTAAAAAACTAACTACAAACTGATCTGTTGGCTTCAAGACTTCTTAAAGGTCCCATATTGTCAAAACTGAAATTTCCTGGCTTTTTTCATGTTAACTGAGATCTAGGTGCTATGTAACTACCACCATATAAGTTTCAAAACAGTCAGTCCACAGTAAAATGCACACAGCCTGCTTAAAGTAGCTGTGATTTTTCACGAACCGTTGTGACTTCCGTAAAAAGTTGACGTCAGAACTACACCGCCTTCAGTCCCCCCCCCCC